ATCCTGCACACTGGTCCTTTAATACTAACCCTGCAGCACTGGATAAAGAGCAAGTTTATGTCTGTTAATGTGGAGAACACCTCTCCATAAGCATTATGAATACATACAGTATATATTTATTTGTTGTCTCCAGAATGGCTCTTCTGCCCTTCATGCTGCTGTTATGGGTGGAAATATTCGGACTGTTCTGCTGATGCTTGAGGCCAACGCAGACCCGACGCTACCCAACAAGGTACGGCACTTGGAGCTGAAAGAGGAGATGATAAACAGACAGAACATGAGTAGATAAATAAACTTTTTCTCATGTGTGTTTTGCAGAATAATGAACTGCCTGCAGATCTTACAAAAAGCGATCGCATCCTAAAGTTATTACATCCAAAAATCTTAAATGGAGACAGCTGATGACCACCCGTCAGACTCCTGCCTTCATGCCTGCCTGTACCACACTGATGATGTGTACCGAGGGGAAAAGAAAACAACAACACATTGTCAAATCTACTCAACTACAATATGTACTGTACATGGTGCTTGCTTCTGATTGCGGCTGAAATTAAGCTGTCATATGTTGAATAAACCTGGACTAAATCTAGAGCAACACAGTGTGCAACCAAAATGCATTTGTCTGCCATGTGCATCATCACCTTTACTCTGTTGTTTTACAGTACATGCATTTATTTTTGTTTACCCCAGGTGTTGTAAGATTTTTTGCACACTTTTTGTTTGCCTTTTTAATAGATGTAATAAAGTGTAAATTTGTTATTCAAGCCATAGTGGCAGCGTGCATGTTTATTTAATGTATGAGGGTTGAGTCATTTTATTTTCAAATGTGTCAGATGTTCTGATTTTTATTTTAATTATAAAATAATAACTGTTTCAATAATTAAACTACTGAGCAGATATCACATATATAGCAACAATATGATTTAGTCATAATGACTAATCTTCACTAGAGGTCAGTATTTTAAGATGCACAGCACTGACAGTATGTATGTACACCTGTCTGTCACCTGTAACTCACTTGTATTGCGGTTTAATTTAGCAAAGTAAAATAATGAACTCTATATATTTAGTTACATCTGCGTAGTAACCTTGGCTGATTATATCTGTTTTTAAAAACATGACTGAAATATCGCGTTACAGGAGCTGATGAAGATAGCAATAACATTGTCACGTGACCACCGCGGAAGTCACAGTGTCTATTTTTGTTGACGCGGAAGAGAGACAAACCTAAAGGATGTTTTGCGATTGAAGTTAGTAATAAAGTTGAACTTAAATAGCAGGTGACAGGTAAAAGAAAGTGTTATCGGGATTATAGTTTTATGTGAAGCGACAGACTTTAGTTTGACCGACTTTAAAACGCTAATGGCTGGTGGTAATTTACAGGTGAGTGACAAACTTTTACTGCGCTACTTGGTTACATACGACGTTAACAATTCGGCTTTTAATGAACCACACCTGTCTGCTTCTCATCCTTTAAAATGGATTATTCAACGTATTAAGGTGCCAACATCTAAACGGAAAGAGGAAAGAGGAAGTTGTTAACAATATACGTAAAAACTAATGGCTTTATTAGTGCTTATTAAATCATTTAATCCTTCTTTATGGATCAGCTAGAAGTTTACACAACATTTGGGTTGCCAGGTTGTGGAAATCCTGGCTGATGATGTTGACCCCTTGTTAGTGGTGAAAAGAAAGTACATTTACTCGAGTACTGTACTTAAGTAAATGTTTGCTTGAGTATTTTTTTATTTTATGCTACATTTCAGAGGGAGAAGTTGCACCTTTTACACTTACCTACATTTATTTGGCAGCTGGAAAATACCCTTAATAGTTAAAAATGAATCCACTGGTTCCCAACCTTTATGACTTGTGACTCTTTACAATAAAGCAGTGTGCTGAGGTCACATTTCAGATGTGTATGAGTTGTTAGCAGTTCAGTCAAAGAGACGTTTCCCCAACTCTTCCAGGCCAAAAGCACTTTTTACTCACAAAGCAAAGATTAAAGAGAGTCCTTAATATGTATAGAAATTTGTGTACCAGAACTTTTGTTTTGTTCTTCTTTCCTCTCCCATTAATCACCTCATGACCCCGTTAAGTTGGGAACTACTGGACTAAACTACCCAACTGTACATAAAGTAGTTAGAACTAGCTCCACCCCGAGGAGCTACAACTGATGCATCAGTATTGGCAATCTAATGTATTCTTAGTAGTACTTTTATTTTTAGACTTTTTAGATTAAGTACATTATATAAGTAAATTATAGAATTTTACTTGTATTAGATATTTGTTCTGTATTGTACTTTTATTTTAGTGAATAATCATACTACTTGTTCCACCACTGCCCTTTCAGTACCACTTTATGATAAGGCGCCCTTTATAAAAGCTTTATAAGTTGCAAGCAGTGGCTTTATTAATACTTTATAAATCATTTACTAACTATTGAATATTCATTAATGTATGTTTAGCATTTAGGGCCTACTATTACTATTACCAAACAGAAAGCATAAACACCACCCAAAAGGATTTTTCACAACCTGGCAACCCAAACGTTGTTGTATTAGCTTCTAACAGTAAAGCATGTGTAAATGAGTTATTAACCATTAATAAGGACATTAGTGACTACTTATAAACCTTTTCAAGGGTTCCTTATTACAAGCTGGTTTCCTAAATTCGTGTTTTTCATTCTGTTTGTTCTCAGAAAGCTATAGATCTCGCAACCAAAGCTGCAGAGGAGGACAAAGCCAAAAACTATGAGGAGGCCCTCAGATATTATCAGAATGCAGTGCAATACTTCCTTCATGTTGTCAAATGTAAGGAGCTTAACCTGTGACTCCTATCAGTGTTTGATTTCTTACAATATCTGTGTGATTTCTGTGGTTTAAACCCCACATATATTCAACACAGCACCATGGTCTAAGCTACTTACTGTGTTGCAGATGAGGCCCAGGGTGATCGGGCGGCACAGAGCATCAGGGCCAAGTGTGCAGACTACCTGGACAGAGCCGAGCAGCTGAAGGAATATCTGAAGAAGAAGGAGAAGAGTCCTCCGGCCAAACCTGTCAAAGAGTCCCAGTCTGATGACAAAGGGTGAGACTGATCAATAATACTGTGGAATGAGTCAGTATCACAGTTTGTTTGCTGTGGTGACTTTTGTCAGCATGTTTAAATTTAGGCTCATGAGGGCCATTTTTGAGTATCCCTGGGGGGTTGTTGTACAGGTCCTGTAATTACTTAAAAAAAAACTATTTAATTTGGTACTCTTTATAGGAAAAATAGAGACAAAGACCTGGGACGGTTATTTTAGTTTTGTTAGTTTTGTTAAAGTCAAGATGAAATGCCATAAAAATCATTTTTTTTGTTTTCTTATATCAAAATCTAATTGTTTTTTCTCCCTGTAAAATGAAATGTTGTGCTTACGTAAGCTTGAACCAACCTATTTCAACCAATGATATCCAGACATCCACCCATCAATTAATCTTAATAAACTTTAAGCGATACAGAGCGAAGATTCATTAGCACAGGAGTGTTTCTGGGGGCTGGACCTCACTGATTACTGTACAAACACACACATATCACTGATTTGGGTGAAACTGGATCATAAAGCCAGACAGATGGATGGACTTGCTAAAGTAGTTAACTGCTGCTAACGGTGATGTTAGCAACCAGTGTACCAGGAATGTCTATCGCTTCCTGCACAAAATGAAACAAACAGGCCCCCACTCATAAAAACATTGCTCCAAAGACTTTCATTGAAAGAACTGCTGAAATCTGAAAGATCTACATACATTTATCAATTTATTATTGGAGAAGTTATACTGAAGATATGTTTTATGTCTTATGCATGTTTCAGTTAATGGGAATTATTTAGTTGAAAGTCCTATAATTAGTACCCAATTAAATTGAATTTATTTCTAAGAATTGAAACTATGGGGTCTGTGGAATCAAGTGTTACTGCATACCACTAAAAGACACAAATCATTGTTCACTGTTCAAAAAAGTGTCAATAAATCACAGTGTTGTTTGATTTCAGGGATGAAAATGGTGATGGGGAGGACGCAGAGAAAAAGAAGTTCCAAAATCAACTCTCAGGTGAACGACTGAACATCTGCATTGAATGAACATAGAGAGACATCAGTAGTTAAATGTCATGTGGGACCATTTCAGAAAATAAATAAATGGCTTTGATCCATACCTGTTACATAAAACGCCATCTCTCCCTCCCAGCAAAGGTGCCATTTGTCAGGAAAAGCGCAAAAAACGATCAAGTGGAACTATGTAGCTGGACTAGAGGGAGGCCAAAGAAGCCTTAAAAAAAAACGAAGCCTGTGATGCTTGCCCCATCAAAATTCCCTCATCCTGTTCAGGCCAGGTACGTGAAAAAACAGAAGTCGACCTTTAAAACCTGGGCCTGAAAATGAATAGTATTTAAGTATCAGCAGTATTGTTTGTGTAGGGAAAGGCGAACACGCTGTGGCGGGGGAATCGCTTCTGTTCGGCCCTCACCCCAGGAACAGGGAAGTCCTACACTGGCAAAAAGGCAGTAGCCACAGAAGCCAACAACTCCCCACGCTTCTTGCTCCATGCTCCCTCCCTCCCAGACCCTGGTGTCCAAGTGGTTGGGGGAAAGTGAGAAAGTGAAGGCCACCAGGTTCGTATGTGTTAAAAAAAAAAAGCAGGGAATATGATGAACTGACAATAAAGACAACTAAGGCTGTTTCTCTCTCCCAGGTTGGTGAAGAAACCTGTTAGTTTAGGGGCCGAGAAACACCAAACCCGCATTCCATCATGTTTTTATAAGACAGATCAGAACTCCCTCTCCATGTGCTCCAAAAGGAAGCGAGGAAACGAAGAAGTGAGCAAGCGCGGAATTAAGACCAGGAGTTAACTGCGTCCCCCAAGAATGCCAGGGTGAAAGCAAAAAAGAAAGAGCCAGCCTCAAAAATCTGAGCAAAAATCTGAAATAAGGCAAAGTAAACTGTTATGAGGTGTAAGAAATGGCGCATTCTCAAAAACCCCGCTCTCAGGTGTTGGGAATGATAACGATGGGATCCCTGGTCCTGGGAGCTAGAAAATATAAACCTGGACGCCTGGACCAGCATGCAAGGAGAAGGTTATGGTTTTAAAAAAACTAATAATGGCCTGGGTTCTCAAAAACCAGACATTTAAGAGGTTAATGCTTTATAAAAACCTGATTAACATCTTTTGTCTGTCCCCTAGGTTTGAAAAACGATCTAACATTCCTCCTGGCCGAGGAGCCAAGCGCCCGCTCCTTGCAATGGTTCAATACTGCAATCTGGCTCCACCCCCAAACAAACCTGACCGAGGGGCAGACTTCGTCAAAGCTCTGGGCCCAAGAAGGACGTGAGGGTTAACTCTTGAGGCGGACGTCGAGTGTTAGTCGTTGGACGCCTCATAGCAGCCTGTCAGGGAAAGATTCAGCTCCAGCCACCTCACTTCCAAAAGAAGGTAAAACACACCAACGCGGGACGTTTGGTCCAAAAAAGCGGCTAGCTTGCTTGCTGTTTTATTCTGAAGTCTGTCGGAACTCCAAGCAGGCAACATAACATGTTCCAAAAATATAAGAACATATCTCAGCCAGCTATGTGGATGGATTTAGTCTTTCAATAGCATACTAGGTTTCTTTGGCTGATCCCGCTTCCAACTTTTCATCTAGCAACCATAAAATCAGGTCACATGTAACTGACATTTAATGAAACACCTGCCTCGAACACCCAAAGTAATGAAAAAATCCTGTCAAACTAGGAACATAATAA